CCCCCCCCCCCCCGTAAGTAATGATCACTTAAAAGTAAAAATAGATCAGAACTTACCGATAGGACCCATCCAAGGATTGTTCCAATGAAGATATAAGCAAACTAGGAATAACAGAAATTTAGTAAATTTGTAAATAGGGAGCTCAGTCACAGTACTTTGAGTCATTTTGGCCACCTACAAAATTACCTTTAAATTGAAGGAAGCCTGAAAATAAGAGTTTACTATGACAGAAAAACACCAAAAAGATAATAATAATAAAGGAACAAGGACAGTTAAGGATGGAGAAGATTAACATGGATTACAAATGATGAACTTGAAAAATATAGACTGAACTTTTCAAGATGTGCCAACTGTGACATAGCTTTAAATACATTCATACTTGAGTCAGCTGAAGGTGCTTTTTATTCAATAATTTACTAATTGCAAAAAACTCACTCCATTCCAGATGGCAAGAAGGAAAATCGTTGTTCCCAAAGTGAACAGAAGTTCAAAGAGACTCCACAACACCCATGGAAAGGCCAAAAATCTGTTCCTCTGCATAACATAAACAAAAATAAGTTGATAATAATTAATAATACACAAAGAAGGAAGGAAATAAAAATAAACAAACAGTATTGGTCACATAAAAAACACTGCTACAGAGACCAAGAGATAGAGAAAGGTAGACATACATTGGACAGTATAAAGTATGCAGTAATAGAGTGTTTCTAGCAGGATGTCTGGAAAACCAAGGGGTATCTGAACTTCTCAAAAATATATGATTTGTATGTAAAATAACTCTAATTAATTTGGAAATGTCAGTTATACATGGCCTTAATTTATTTTTCAAAGTTTACTTTAATACATGTATATGATAGTTTTCTTAAAGGGACTGTGTCACATTTAGTCTCATTTATTTAGTTTCGCCAAATACTTGTGATGAAACTTGATGTTAGCACAGAAATTAGTTCTATGGATCGAAATTGCTGAACCATAGAGGCTCTTCGTTACAAACAATATGTCTCCCTGGAATTATAATAATTAAAGGTGATAAAGACACAAGATTAACTTTAAAAATTATTCAGCCTAACAATTTTTCAAAAAAAAGTATTTTGCCACCCATAACTTTTAATCTTAATTTCTGACTATCCATAACTAGTGTTATTGAAATATTTATCTACTGTTTAAGTTGGTTACCCTCACTCAATTTGGCAGCCATTTTCTACTGTCTTAATTTGGCCTAAATCTGTGACACAGTTAAGTTTATATTTAACTCTCCTGATTGGATTTATGTGTAACGATTTTGTGCAGAAAATTGCATTGTTGATTGGTGACTTACCATGCCGTAGGATGCCAGTAGGCACAAATTTACCAACAGCGAGATCGCTCCAAAGGCAATGCCAGCATAGCCCAAGTTGATGACAACTTAGAAGACAAAAAACACCTCAGTCAGTAGTTGTTCCTTAGATATTCCATCAGCCACTGGGTGTGTGTGTGTGGGTGTGTGTTGGGCGGGGGAACACTTCCGTAAATTTCAAATAGGTGTGTGCCACAAAGGGTCTTAAATCCTGACCGTACGCTATTTAAGGATTAAGCAAACACTAAATAAATACAAATACAAATACTGGTATTGTTTCTAAGGAACATGCCAGAAAAATGACACGCTGTTCTTAAAAGGAAAAACAAAAACTAAGAATGGCGTGAAGGGGTAAGCTTTGTCTCATTTCTGTAACATTGAAAGTTAAGCATCAAGCATAGGATTTCAGTTGTTTTTTGTTTAGCTGGGCATTTAGGCACTGGAATTTTAGCTTTTACAATTTAGGTACCCTATCTAAGGATCCCACTGGAAACACAATACCAACAGGGGCAAAAATGATACCCCATTTAAGGATTGGGAACCTCAAATTGCATACCTATCCTGCAGCACAATAACATAGGGGAATAACCCCATATCCCCTGGATTAGCCATCAGTGCCATAAAGAGCTGCATGGCCATTTAGCTCAGCCTGAACAGGATTTAATAAATGTAACATTAGGCAAGAAAAATAAACATACTATTAACATATTTTTCATCCACAGGAAGGTCTGTTGGGTCATCATTATTTTCCTTCTTGTAATCAGAAAGAATCTTATAGGAGCGAAATCCTGAGTACAGAGAATATGCTGATCCAAGCTGTAAAATGGAAATGATACAAATATATCCACAGTTAAGTTTAGTCTTGTATATATAAAAAAGTCCTAAGTTAGAGGAGTGTGGTGTGGGGTGGGGGTGGGGGTGGCGGTGGCAAGGCAGGGGAGGGCAAGGGTAGTGGGTGGGCAGCTGTGTGTGGTAGGGTTTCATGTGAACACTCCACTAGGTTTTCATTGCTATTAAATATGCAAATAGTTGATAACAAATAAGAAGGGATGCTAAAATGAACGTCTAATACGGCAAAGTTATAGCAGAAAACTTGTAAAAGATCTTTACAGTGAAAGCAAGGAAAAAAATTCCACCTTGTATGATTTAGAGAGTGATACACTAGACAGAGTTGATTACGTGAATTATGCTCGGAATCAGTCATGCATTTAGAGTAGCTATTTATTACCCGGGAGTTATCAAGCATTTTGTCACGTCCCGACAAACGGCAGGAAACCAAACTAGCTGTTATTCAAGAACTACAATCTATAAATGATGATAAAACGGAAAAAAATGAATATCATGTGTTTTCAGGGAATGCTGTGAGCAGAATTCGTTTTAACATAGGAATTGAAAGTTGTACTGCAAGCTTACAATGCGTACACAGTATGGTTAATTTATGAACGCAGTATCATTCGAAAATGCAAAGACTACGTACAACAACGCCTGGACAACTGTAAAATTATAAACAGATGCACAAAAGCGTGGTATATCTGGCAACAATATGAATGTATTTTCACGTTTATCAAATTATCAAGGATTGAAACGAGTTGTGGAACGATACTGATAGAAGAAAATATTTTAACAGCTAAATTCAGCCTGCGCTGTAATGGTTTTCACTCGCATTGTTCATTTTCCATTACTGGATCAAAACAGGATGAAGTATCGGTGGACTGTCGAAAGCCAATTCATAATTCCTTCTTTCCTTTTTTGACGAAAAAAGCTTAAAAGCTGAAGGCAGCTAAGGCGACTGTTCGCAAACAACGCTTGAAGACGCAAGACAGGCCAACAACCACCAGGCTAAAGTCGGTTAACATCACGGCTTTACAGAGGTTGAGGTCAGAAAACGCTAAGCCCTCATAGAATGAATTCACGGAGAAATAGTTTCAGTTTTTCAGTTTTGTTATTATTGCACACTATATATATATANATGTTTTCTCGTAAATTGATCTCTCGTAAGGCTTGCAGACCGACCCGTTCCGAAAACGCTTAATGTCCTTTAGTGTTGGTCTACCTCGAACGGTCTGTTCGTTTGTATATGATTTCATCGCCCCAGAAATCATGGAATCCGTGCTAACTTTTCACAACGACAACTTCTGTTAATTCCATGTACGTATGCACAGCTGACGCATGCGCTTTAGAGACCAGACGGCGATTTGTGACTGAACGAGGAAAAAAAAAACGGAGCCGAAATTTAAACTCAGGCCTCACTGCCTGGGTAAAAAGCAGTTTATATAAGCAAATGATTGTGTCATATGGATATAAACAACATAAATTATATCAGCCTTTACCACTGACAACAGAACTACAATTGATCACATATATACAAATCTGAATGAGTCAAGAGTCCAAACAGGTGTTCTCGAGACTTACTTTAGTGACCATAAAGCTGTGTGGATAGCAATTAAAAAGGAGTAGACATGCATTGCATGTATTCCATTCTGGTCAAATACCAAAAAAGCTCAGTTCAAACACAATGATATTTTTGAAAGAAAGGATTTTTAAAGCTTTTGTATGTTGTTTCACCTGTTTTGCATTGTAGCATAATTTCCTTTATTACAATTTAATGGCAAAATCTGGTAAATTGAATTTCAATGGTTCAGCACAGACCTCAGTGCCCCATACAATGCAAAGCGTTGACATCTAAATAATCAAAATAAATCAATAATGAAAGCAAATACACAATTGAAATATTAATTGATGACATCAGTATTGAAATCATCGCTATCATATCAGTGGGTACAATAACCTGTTGTACAAAGGAGCCTTGAGTAATTCTCGATGATTGAATCAGTCTTATGTCTCTGATAATGATCAGGACCTCCACATGACGTCCTTGTGATCCTGTGGATCACAAACCCTCCATATTTCATGTGAGGTAAGTATTGTTTTTTTGTTCATGTACAGGATATAGGGATGAGGGGGCAAGGCAAAAGACTGGCCTGTATCATGGTTCATATAGCATTTGTATTTTAGTGATAATTTTGTATACACACCATAACTTCGTGGTAATTTATTAATCACTCGACTGCATTTTCTTATTTTTTTGCATAGCAATTACTTGAACAGCTTATTACAATATTTATTGAAAATTTATCATTGATTTTTCTTTGTTTGTTTGTTTTTTTTGCAGAACTCTTAGCAACTAATTTCAAACTAGAAAATATACAAGATACACTCAAGCATCATTTGCAGTCATGTGATTTCCAACTTTCTTTAGAACTTTCAGTGCTGTCTTCTATTTTACACCATGTAGAGTGTTCTAGCATTCATAACATTGGAATGGTTGGTTACAATGCACTGATCTGGATATAGTTAACATCAATAGGTGCTATATTTAAAGACAGTGCAAGGACTACGTTGTGTATCATAACACATTAAACTACTGGGCAACCAGTAAATTATGTTACCCTCGTTAAATAAAGTCTTTTATTATTATTATTATTATTATTATTATTATTATTATTATTACATTATGCAGCAACGAGCATTTGATATGCATTTAAATAATAGCAATTGGACAAAACTGATTTTACAAGTTATCTCTTTGAGTGAGAAACATGGCAATCTGTGGTAATAGTAGGTCCTACCAACTTTGTTGAGAACTGTACCAAGAATTTCATGCTGCTGGATTCTTCTTGGGGACGTATCACAATGTTCCTTCCACATTGTTTACTTCACAAAAAATTTGTAATTTTCATTGCTAGTTGTTAGTCTATTTTAAATGTTTAAAAACATCTATGGGAACTGATAATATGGCAAAATTTAAAGTGAAACGAAGATCTTCATATGAAACAAATGAATTCTACATTGTTTTCAAAGTGCAGTTAATAAAGAACTAATTGTCGTGCTGTTCTCCCAGATAATGCGGGAGAGCTGGCATAGATGAGATTTTCACACTGCATTGTGTTTCACGCAATATCCGGTAAATTTGCTTATACCGGAAAATTTATGATGCGAACACATCGTCCATACAGACAACTTTAGATCTACAAGCAAGTGGCGCACACAGTACGTCAAGGATCAACATTAAATTTAGGTACTGATGAGCACTGTTTAGCCCGGACTCTTTGCTGTCTTGAATTGAATTGAATTCATTGAGCATTGTCAGAGTAGTATATGAACACTGAAATATCTAGCCTGCGAACAGGCTCTAGCTGAGCCCGAACGAAGCCATTTGATTAGGTCGATCGGAATTGTTTGCAGTTTGCAAGTATATAAAATGTAGCTTCTTGACAGCTCTAATTACCTCATTGACTGATTTGTTACAGGCTAATCACCAAGAGAAGGCAGATAGGCACATCGAAAACAAAGATCACACGCACTCCAATCCTAGCCTAGGAACACCCTTCCGGCGAAGACGGAAAAAATTTCAAAGAGCGCGAAATAAGAATTCGGAAGCGAAGTAAGCGGGCCGGGATGGGCTAGCATGTGCACTTTGATTTTGATGTGCCTATCCGTACTTGGTGATTAGCTTGTAACAAATCAGTCAATATGATAATTAGAAATGTCAAGAAGCTACATTTTCTGTACTTGCAAACAGTTCCAATCGACTTAATCAAACAGCCGGGTTGGGCGTCATAATATAGAATGCTGATAAGCAACATGTTTAGGGAATATTTTAAACTTTGTTCTCCAGAACCAATAGTTGAACACCTTAAAACATATTTTGCTGAAATACTGAAATGAGCGTAAAGAAATTAAAAGCACATGATAGAGGTGTCAAACTTCGTAAAGTAACATGCAAATATAAGCGGAAATTCGCAAATCAAGCCTTTGACCTCTAAAAAAAATTGCTATACCACAGCCAAACTGCTGCACTTCACTAGCTTTATAAAATTGTTTTCCATAACAGAACATTGAAAACCCTTCTAAATCAGTTGCGAAATAACGAAAGATCGAAAGGCGGAAAATTTAAAGGGAATGGAAAATGCACTATTGTGAAGAACAGCAGAAGTAGTGGAATTTTGCAAAGGTCTATCAAATATTTATCTCAAAGATCGCAACCATCGTAACAATCAGCGATTTAACAAGTCACATCATAATAACAGGAGCTAGTATCATAGAATGGGGCCATCAATAGAATGTGCACAGCTCTCTCGCTTTGTTGGAGCTAACTGGGAGCCTGTTCGCAGGGTACCACCCTCTCGCCGCGATCACTCGTTCTTCGAATTCTTCTGTTTGGTGCTCTCCGAAAATATTTTTTGTCCTCGCCGGTAGCCTGTTCGCAGGCTATGAAATATCTGAATGAAATTTATTTGTCAACCCAAGTAAACTGCATTGCTGAAAATTTGGATCCGTCGATGGATTCCTTTTAGGGACACCTATCACAATGTTTTTGTTACATTGTTTTATTTCATCGAAAATGTTCAAGTATCACTACCAGTAATTCACTCTATTAAAAACTTTTACCGGCTGCCACTCATACTAACAACCTTTAAGTAAAGCAGGATACAAGTAGGGATATTTGTTGGAACAGATAATATAGCAAAATTGGAAGTGAAAAGAAGATATATGTTTGCAACAGATTACAACTTGCATTAATTTTAGTTAAGAATTAATCCTTTTGCTGTAATGGAAAGAGCTTATAAGTTTCACACATAATGAGACCACAAATTACTTTCGATTTGTGAAAACAACTAGAAAAGTCTAGCAGAGGTGATTTAACCACACGATTTTCACCTGAAAAACCTTCACAATGGAAAACAGTTATCTTTGTACTGGAATCATAGAAGGTTTACAGTAGTAATAATGAATTCAACTTACAATTCAGTTGCAGTTTTTAGATTTTTGTGAGGTTTTACAAACTTGGTATTTTGAATTTCTCTCAAAGGAAGAGTGGTTGTCATTAAATAATAGATAATGGCTCTGTCAATGGAAAATCAATGGGAAGGTTCATTAAAAACAGGTATAATGTTAAAGCAACAAATTAATTTCCGGTGAAGTAATTAGCGTAACCA